GATTGAATGAAAGACCCCTTGGGCAATGACTTGTGGGAGACAAAAGATAGACCTGTAATGCAATTTTTACACACCTGTGATTTTGAATCCAACATGGAAAAAGTAAGAGGAACATATTGTAAAGGATTCAAAGGGAGAATCAGTCAGGGCACGAATGACAACATTGAGACTCCGAAACAGCAGAACAGAGGAATGTGGAGAAAGGAGCAGATGAAAGAATCGGAAAAGAAGCAAAGTAACTGGGGAAGAGGAAGCTTAGTTGTTTGTTTGGTGCTTTATGGCACAAAGCAACGAGGCTATCTGCGCCAAACAACGGGTAAAAAAGTGAAAGTAAATTAGAGTAAAATGTAAAAATACAGCTAGTTAAAACCGAAATATGTCCAAAATGTGGATAAAAGATTTAGATACAATTAAAAACACCAATATTGCGTAAAAAATTAAAAATACAATCTAGTCGGACAGTGTCACCATCGCCAATGACTGTCCAACGTCAGGGGTAAACTCTTACAAATTAAGTGTCTAAAATGGTGCTGCAGTGGAGGTCCTGCAAAACGCCATACCTCCATGTTGTGTCATAAGCCTTCTCGAGATCAAAGAACACAGAAACAGACGTTTCAAGTTGAATCAGATGGTCCATGGTGGAGCGCTGTTGACAGAACCCACACTGGGTAGACGAGAGGAGCGTGTTCAATTCGAGGAACCAAACAAGACGAGCATTAACCATCCTCTCTAAAACCTTACAAAGACAACTGGTCAAAGCGATGGGATGATAATTAGAAGGAATCTTGGGATCCTTCCCAGGTTTAGAGAAAGGGAGGACAATAGCCTGGCGCCAAGCAGGAAAAACATGCTCCTGCCAGATCCGGTTAAAAATAACCAGAGGAATAGCAAGAGAAGCAGGAGAGAGATGGCACAGCATCTCATAATGAACATCATCAGGTCCGACAGATGTACTACCAAACCGATGAAGAGCAAGTTTGAGTTCCACCAGTGTAAAGGGGCGATTATAGTCATACAGACAATCGGTTCGAAAAGGAATGAGGCGATCACTCTGCCCGAGACTTGATGGCCAAGAAGGCAGGGGAAGAAACAGAAGTGCTAGAAGCACGAGAAAAGCTGTGGCCGAGAGTATCAGCAATGCTCTGGACATTGGAGAGCAAGATGGAAAGGGGATGGGAAGCATACCTCCCAGTGACTTTCAGAATCTTGTCCCATACAGTTTTGGAACTGGTGGTAAAAGAGATGCTAGTAGTGAACTTAATCCAAGACTCCTTTTGGCTTTGACGTTGAACCTGTCGGGCATGGGCCCGCTGATAAACAATGCGGTTAGAAAGTGAGGGATACTGTCGGAAGGTATCCCAGGCAGGCAGGACTCCACCAGGGACGAGGATACCGTGTCGAGGTCTTAGGAATAAAATTAGCAGCTGCCTGGATGATACAGTCAGTCACTGCAACCACACAGTCGTCTGTTGATGGCAGACAGACGAATGCAGGATCAAGTTCAGAGAGAGAGGTGAAAGATGGCCAGACAGCGTGGTCCAACTTCCACTGTGGCACTCGGGTCGGGTGGCATCGATCATGTCCAACCTCCTTCATAATGATAGGAAAATGATCACTGCCCCGTGGGTCACTGTCGATCATCCAAGAAAAGCGTGTGAAAAGTGTAGGGGAGCAAACTGAGAGATCAATGGCAGTAAAAGACTGACTAAGTGCATGAAA